CAGTGGAAGCAATGTGGCTGGATTCAGAATCGTACACCGTTTTATCACAATGTGTGGTTGTGACAAAAGTGATCCCACTATGAACTTTGAACTCTTTTTCAAATCTAAACCAAAAATCATCTACCTCTTCTCCGATTTTTTGTTTAATTCCTGACAGATGACTGTAATTTGCCCTTTTGCGGAAAGTTGTTCTAACTCTCACATAATGGGTCCCATTGTGCTTTAAAATTATCAGAGAGAGCAGGGTTAGCTCCTGGAGGGTATGGAATTGGAGCTAAAATATTATTTTAAATTGCTTTCCCTGTATAATTTCCCCTCACTTTTGCCCAATCTTTCCCTAATGAGGACATGGCTGCTTCTCCTGCTTCTACCCCATTTAGTCTATATGAATGGATTAATCCAGTCATGTCTTCTATCCACTTATCGGGGTCTTCTGCTACAGGTGTTATTCCTTCCACCGCCTTCCTGGCCTCTTCCAAGGTCCAGGGCCTGAAAACATAAATGTGTGGCGACTGGGCATCTCTAGGATTAGGGTTTGGGACCTGGATCATTGGATATTGTTCTGTCCCTTCAGAATCAGGGCTGTACATAACTCTAGGAGTTCTGTACTTTCTCAGATCATATGAATGTCCCTGGTCACTTGGACCTGCACCTTCTTCTTCATATAATGGTGGTGGGGAGACTGGAAGGGGAGGGTAGATGTTAGTAGGTGTGAAAACTGACACTGGGTCTGTGGTCAGCTTGGCAGGTGGGGCTCGTGCTGGAGTGAGAGTTGGAGGAGCTGAGGGTGGTGGGGCCTGCATGTCTGGGGAAGGTGTTTGAACTACACTAACTACAGGCTCATTATCTTCTGGTCTTACAAACAAAGTAGTGACTTCCTCACATTTACTCCTTTTTTGTTTGTTTTTCCGAATTTGTTCTTTTCTTTCTAAAGTTGCTTCTAACCACTGCTGAGCACATTTCAGCTCTTTCTCTTTTCTTTCTCTCTTCCTTCCCTTTCTTCCCACCACTTTGCTCTCTAATATTGCCACTAAAGTTTGCCATTGTTCAATTTTTAATTTTCCATCTATCTTATATTTCTTTTCCCATTTTGACACGTATGTCATGCTACCAGGAAATCTGGACAGCATGTATTTTTCATCCCTTTCGGGATCCTCAGCAAGTGAGGAATTACAACAACACTTATTTCCCATTATTTCAGTACTCTGCAATTTAGCTTACAATGGCTTGATATTTTGTGTTTTCTCTTCAAAGAGAGTGCTCTAAGTGAGCGCTTAATGTCCCCTGAAGAACAGTCTTCTAGGCCAGACTAATTCTGGTCCGGTTCTTCACCTAGGATTCTAATTCCGAGGACAGAAAGTTTTACTCTCAAGGAAAAATCAAGCACCATTCACACATACACACACACAGAATTCCCTGCCAAAGCGAGGATCTTCCCTTATGGGGCACCTTATCCAGAGAGGGGCTCTAAAATACCTCTCCTTCCTTTCCCTGCCTACGCGAGGATCTCTGTAAAGAGATATCATCATCCAGAGAGGGGCTCTAAAATACCTCTCCTTCCCTGGGACTCAAACCCAATTTTGGGACTCAAACTCGAATAGCGCTTTTCCACTCACGTTTCTGTTGGTTCATTTTGTCTGGTCGGATCTCGTCAATCCGTCATTGGCAGACAAAGTTGGACGTAGGATGCTGGCCTGGCGAAGAATTCACTTCCCGGGACTTTGTTTCCAGGTCCTGTTGACTCTGGCCGTGCACGGTTTCAGCGCGTCGTTCTTCGTCTGTCAGCGAATGGATACGTCGAGAATCCGGGTCACGGCACCAATTGATAGGTATTTTCTCAAAACTACATAAAAAAGTAAGAACCAAAGACAACGTATATGAGTTTTCAACCAAACTTCTGCAGAAGGAGAAGACACAGTGAACTGCTTCTCCAAGCCACTCATCATGTGTTCTGAAAACCTTCAGTTTGTTTGTCTCTTTTATTAGCAAGAAGGGTGTGAAAATGAATGGAGGGGGTGAAACCCACATCTTATCTTGACAGTAGAATGCAAGTTCAGAAACACAACAGGGGGACACAGAAACTTAATTAGCACACAGATAGGTTTACAGCTCAGGAGTATCCCAGGAAGATCTAAGTCACAATCTGTAAAAACATGCTTGAGGTTAATGTAAGAATGATTGTGTCTCCACAGTTTCAACAAATTTGAACACTAAACCTCTAAATAGAAAAATAACTAGTAACATAAAATTACAAATGTAAGAATAACAAACATAATTCTAACATACTGTTTATCAGCTAAATCCCCATTGCTATGGTGCTCTGCAGCTGCCGTAATTTTTAAACCTTTAATAAATGACAAAAACGGGACTAATTGTCTCGTTTGTTTAAATATTTAATCATCTAATAGGATGACATATTCATATGTCCCATATATAAAGTATATGAGTCATGGTTTGTTATATTTTATAAAATTAACAGCAGCAATTATGTTATTATTCACCAATATAAAAGAGCAATTTGCTTAGTCCTCTCTTGAATCTTGACAGAAACCAAACTGTTTACAGATTTATATCAAGGGAGAATACTTACAAACATCAGCAATTTTCTCAGCTTTAATTTAAGCCATGTTTATAGAAATCGGGTAGGAAATAAAGGCGCTGCGATAATTTTGTGACAGATTCCTGCTCATCCCGCATTGGAACAGCCTGGTTTAGTGGACAGACTCACCGCGAAGTAACGCCTGTAGGAGCATCGCTAGCGTTAGCGGCTAACAGGCGATGTCCAAACCTGTAATGTATATCAATGAAGAAATCCTACAAACGCCAAAATCAGACACTGCTCCGTTTTTTGTTTACTTTTTGTGAAGAAGGAAATTGCGCTGGACTTCTTCAGAGGTTTTGTGTCGATTCCTTCAGCAGTTCTTGGTGCAGCGCCCCCACAGGCGATGCGGGGAACAGGTTTTTCAGTTAGTTTTAGTCGTTTAACACAGTGCAGTGTGAATGCAAACTACAGTTCTGAAAATGTAACAAATGTTGCAATATTAGTCCCCAATCGAACAGGGTCTACCAAACTATCTGGTATGGTCTGAATGCAGTCTCCAGGATCAAGGATCTCTCTCCTGCTGTTATATGGCTCTGCAGAGGTGAGAGCAGCTTGACCAATCTCATGGTAAGACTATGCTCAAACTTTGTTTTATTTCAATCAAGCAATCAATTTTAGTTATAAAGCTAAAATTGATTGCTGTGTTCATGTTGGAGGCAGCTCGCTGGAAACGCATAATAAAGGGTATTTCTGAACTGGGTTTGAACCATCCACGGTCACAGTCTGCAGGAGCAAATACCAGAGTGGTGAAGTAAACTGAAACTGGTGGGATACACTCTTTGTCCTCCCATCTTTGTAAGAGGACTGGTGAATATAAAAGGTGATGTACTTTGATCTTTTCTTCATTTCCCTGAACTTGCTTCAAAGCACAAATAGTTTTTACTAGAAGGCGTGGCCGGGGCAGCAAGGCGAAGTCACAGCTATAGCTGTTAGTTTGGCTCTAAATTTCACATATTTCACACCAAGCTAACCTCTCAATAAAGATGATTTTTCATGTGTTCATGTGTTATTTTGTTTTTAGATCTAAGCATCATTTCATGTCTTGTCTCAATAAGGTAAAGTAAAGAAACAGCAGTTGATTGGCTAGTCTGACAGCTCCTCCTTCAGTCTCTCCTCTGATAAATAACATGCAGGTTCAGGACTGATGACAATATAAAGGAGACACTTAAGGGATTCTTATCTTTATATTTTCTGACACACTTTTCAGGTAAATGGCTTCCATTTGTTTCTTACTCTTATAATTAAAAAAATAGCTTGCATTTGAAAATGTATCATTAAGAATGCCGTACAGGAAATCATAATACAAAATCATCTGAAAGGTAAAAACACCTCAATAGTAAGACAAAAACAGTTTGTTCCATCACCTACTGTTTTTAAAACTAACCATGACATTGTTAGTGTTTATTTACAGAATTAGGTTTAAAATTGTATATTACAATCTTCACATCTTCAACATTATGTTTTTGTCATCTAAAAAGTGTATACTGCAAGTTCTGCTTGTCAGACACTGATAAGGGCAAATTAATCCACGAGAACCACGCTTACTGATACAGACTCATTTTATCGTAAAAAAAAAACATTTATAAATGACATTATGTCTCTTTCTCTAACGTCTGCACAGTTTAACTACATTTTGATGGAACATTTCTAAATGTATGGTTGACCACTAACCTGACCTGATTTGACAACGGAGGGAGGCGCGGGGGGATGAACCTGTTCACGTCTTCCCACTGGTTTGATCAGTGGACATAATTTTTGTTATGCTTTGTAAGAATCTAATGACTCAAACATATCAAATCCCCCAAAAAATAATGTGTTCAAAAATATGCAGTACAACTTGATTCTCTCCATGGTTCAAAAATACATTAACCAAAATGCAATGATTAGTAATTTGATACAACTGGATTATTTACACATACAAAGTGAAAGAAGAAAGCGAAAACATCAGAGTACAAATTTCACCCTTGGCTGAAAGCCCAGCAGTGAACAAAAGTAGGAAAGAAACTAACAAAATCATTAAAAATTGGTCTCCACTAAGGTTTATAGTTCTCTATAAATACTGATACTTATAAAGAATTAGTCTTGTTTTATTAGTCACACTTTCTCACCACCTCCATGTCTGTTTTTCATTCACTTAACAACATGCCTTCTTTTAGAGCACATTGCATTTTTCACAAACATTTACCTAGATTACCTGAAAAGGTAATCTAGGAACCTAGATTACCTGAAAAGGTAATCTAGGAACCTAGATTACCTGAAAAGGTAATCTAGGTTCCTAGATTACCTTTCATTACCTGAAAGGTAATCTAGGAATGCAAATATGTTTTGTGACTGACTGTTTTGTGACTGAAAAATGAAAATGAAACAAAACAGTTTAGGTACAATCAGAGCGAATAAACCGAGCCACGCCACCAAGAAGGAGATTTTTAACTTCAGATCTTGTCACAGGTTTTTGTGCTGACAGTAAAAACAATTTATTTCTACAATGCAAGCTTAATTTTATGAAAAACTAAATGGTCTAGTTTTAACTTTGACAACCAGGTAACAGTATGAAGTTGGTGTTGTATTTGGTTTGATTAAAAGAGAGTTGTTAGTGCTGGTATAGTTGATGTTTTTAATTCTACCATGAGCCGTGTTGTTTTTAAGAGCAGATATAATATGTCATAACTAAACTTGCTGGTTATGTTTTGCTTCATTAGAAGCATAAATTATTTCATAGTGAAGTTAGATCATTAAACAGGTGGAGTTCATATTTTTAGAAATAAAATAAACTAAAAGCTAACGTTGCTTTTATTTGAATTGTTCTTTCTGCAGAGATGAACATAGCAGCAGTAAAACAATGGCTCTCAGCAGTGAAGGGACAACTTGAGAAGAATCCTCTGGCATCAAACATTGGCTTTGCACTGATCCTTCTCTGCTTTGAGAAAATTGTAGAGTTGGAGTTTGTTTGTCCCTGTCAGTCGAAACTGAATGCCGTCTCTGCTTTATCATTTTTCTCAGCTCCAGCTTTAATTGTCTTTCTGCTCATGCTTAGTACTGAACATCCATGTAAATCGTGTAAATCATTTGTGGAAACTGTCCTTCATGGTCTAGTTCCTGCTGTAACCTGGTGTATAATATTGTTCATGGATGGACGTTATTACGCCTGTTTTTGGACCAACTGGTCAGGACACTATGAAACCAGTGAGACTGCTTCCCCTCTGAAATGGTGTAAACCAGCTAATTTGTCTCATGGAGAGGAGATCCAGACTCTGGAGTGGTACGCCACGTCTCAGGTATGCAGCGAGTTTTTACTTGTTTTACATTCATCAACAGATAAACAGCTGTTAAACATTTACATTATTTTTATGTCCATTTTCTCTATGTGTTTTTTAAAAAGGTCATTGGACTCTGGGTTGCAGTTATTCTCACTGCAGTTTTTAAGCTCTATTTGTTCTGTAAGTCCTTCTGCTGCAAACATCAAGAAGGAACAGACGATGCAAATAACGCTCAAGACATCCATCTACAGGTGCAGAACAGCGGATGACAGAAATTCAGAAAAGAAAACAAGGACATCTGGGGGGGAAAAAGGAATACCAATTTGAACAGTCAGACAAAATGCAGAAAATCTAGAGTAACGTTAAAACATGTTCTAGTTGGATGCAAACAATTATTTAAGTGCTACGGCGGATAATAAAACATTTGAAAGATATACTAAATTTACTTCTAGTTATAACAAAACAATTTCTCTACTTTCAAGATGTTATGTTAAATGGTTTGTTTTCTTAAAGGATATTTCCTGTTTACATAATTCATTGTATTATACATTCTAAATGTCACTTTTTTGTTTCTTAAACACATTATATTCTGTATAATTTTTAAATCATCATATTCAAGTCAAAGCTGTCGTTGCCCTTTAACAGTGACTCTTTTCCGTGTGTCTAGCTTGATGCTTTGGGTGTGGCTTCATATTGAACTTTTATTTTCATTTTTCATGTAACAGGACACCAGCTTTAGATAATCTTCACTCTGACTTTTCTAAATAAAATTAATTGCAACAAATTGCTCTTTCTTAATTAAAAAAGGGTCTACCTATTTGTGTTCAGTGAAGGCATCAAAGGTTTATTAGAGAACATTAGAGATCAAGCGGCATCACAAAACCTGAACAACTTTGAGGGTTTGTAGTGAAACAAACCTCACTCAATAAAAACAAATAAATTCCACTTAACAGATAATTTACATTTTAGCAACAGTCTGTTTTTTTCTGTTCACCTCTCATTAGTTGATCCAAGTTTAACAGGGGATCAATGTTTCTTTGCAGAGAAACATTGACTTTTCCCAGCTTGACACAGGAAGAAACTGTACTTTCACTTGCATGTCAAGACATGCAAGTGAAAGTACAGTTTCTTCCTGTGTCAAGCTGGGATTTATCAGTGTTGCAACAATTAGTCTTTTCAATAGCCTGCTTGTTGTGTTTATGTCTTTTTTAATTCAAGAATAATTTCAGTCTTAATAAGCTATAGTAAGTAAAGCAAAAACATTGAGTAGGCTAGTTGGCTAACTTCTCCTCCAGTCTCTCCTCTGATAAATAACATGAAGGATAAATAACATGAAGGTTAAAGAGTGACCACACACACTTTATATTTTCTGACACACTTTTATGGTAAATAGCTTCCATTTGTTTCTTGGACATGTAGTTAAAAATATTTCATAGTAATAAGTTGCGTTTGAAAAATTAGCATTAAGATGGGGGGGAAAAAACTGAAAGGAAAATCACCTCAGTAGAATCAGAGTGCTTTTAAAACAGATTGTTCCAACGTCATGCAACGGTGGCTAACATTTATGTTGGCGGCAGTTAACAGTAACTTCCAGCCGATATAGTAACTTTTAAAAACGGAATCAATATCCGAGACTCACCATTCTGTTTCTGTCAAAACCGAAATTGCAATATTAGTAGTGATTTCGCTGCGATGTTGTGATGCTCCGATATTTACATTTGCACAGTTTATGTCAGTACAAAGGATAAGAGAGAGTCCGCTCCTTATCTTCTTCAGCTTAAGGTTTGGAATCCAATATCTCCTTCACTAGCCACTACTGCCATCTTACGGCGTTAATTGGTATTACAACAGCATTTAAAATGAAAGTACAGGTTTTCATGATGAAAAACCTGTACATAATCAAAATGTCACAATATTGCCACCTTTAAAAAAATATTACATAAACAGTGTCATTGAAACAAGTTTTGTGTCCTGAATAAATGTAATCTTTCTGCCATGTGAAGATATAAAAAATATATATCTAAAATTCAATTAAGATGTTTATGCTGGGGGTTCAGTGAAGCTGCGTCACTATGATCTAGTAGGTATGGAGTGCATACAAAATACTGCAACAGGGTTTAAATGCAAAAAAAATCACAAATTAGTAAAAATGTTACTTGAGAATCATTTTTATTTTTACATTAGTGATGTTTAATTTTTCTCCCAGTGAAAATTTTCTTCCACAACAACCTAACAACTGAAACCCAGATGATCGTTACAAGCAGAACAGCTGCTAACAAGGCAGTGAAGACGTCAACAGAGTTGTAAACAAACCAGGACATTTTATGGGCGTGTGTCTGCAGATGACGGGCCCCATTGTGTCTGATGACATATTCGATCCAAAACACAGCCTGATCCAGAGGTTTCACCGGCTGATCTCTGTGCAGCTTAGAGAGAGTCTGCATGTTATCTCCATAGGTGGAGTTGTAAATTACTGTCATCAGAATGTCTTTGAAGCTATGCCTGTCGAGCATGGCGATGTCTACGATGACAGCTGCTCCTTTTGCCTTGACCCTGGATAGATTATCAGGCTGGTCAAAGAATAAAGGAAGTCCAATCACTGGAATGCCGTGGTAAATCGCCTCCTGGACGCCGTTAGTGCCTCCATGGGTGATGAATACTCGAGTTTTAGGATGACCTAAGAGGTCGTTTTGAGGCAGCCACTTCACTAGCAATGTGTTGTTGCCCAGGTTGTTTGGTTTTTGTCCTACATACCTCCAAATAACCTTCTGAGGCAATTGAGCAAATGCTACAGCAATCTCTTCAGAGATATCCTGAGGCAGGTTGCTCACCAAAGTCCCTAGAGTCATTACAACAATCCCGTGATCTCCAGAGCTTTGGACAAACTCCTCCAGATCAGCAGGGAGGGACTTAGAAGGCTTACACTGAAACCCTCCCATGTAGACGACATTGGGCACTGTTGGACGCGGGAATTCAAACACAAAGTCGTTTCTCATGAGCCAGATATCGGCATCGAGAAAAAACGTTGAGTAATCCACATCAGGGCCAAAGAACCGCTGGACGATTGGTTTGTAGGCAGGTTCTGAGATGTACGATAGAGTGAACTTCCCTAAAAAGTAACTCAAGACATTCTTTAATCTCTGAGGGAAAGTCATTTTATCTGTGAGCTCAGTTGCAGTAAAGGGAATGTATGAGAGAGGTGAAGGAGCAATGAGGAAGTGGGCTTCACCCTGGATGGTCCATCGGACATTAAACACCAGAGGAAGTTGTAGTTTGCGCGCCAAAATTGCACCTCCACCGATGCCAGGGTCTGTCAGGACCAAGTCATATTTGGCAGCGTCCAAAGACTGCATCAGATTCTCATTCTCAAACATGTGTGTAATTACATCCCCCACTTTCTTATGAAACTGGGAGAACTGGTCTAATAGCACCCACTCCATTTGCATGTGAGTCCAGATGTTGGACCAAAATGATTCGGGTTTTATTTGAAGCCGAATCTCCAGCTGTCAAGATAAGTACACGTCGAAATTTTCCTCAAATCCTCCTCGGCAGGGAAGAGTGACAGAGGTGTATAGGGGGGACTTTTCCTTGATGTACCAGCTGTCAGAGGGCCGAAGCACCGTGATCTCGTGGCCCCTGGCATGCAGTTCCTCTATGATCACTTTCATGTTTACCCAGTGGCTTCCGTCCAATGGGAACACCAGAATTTTGCCACCTGATGCAACTGATAGTTGCACTAAGAGCAACATAAAGGTGAGGAAAGAGGAATGAGACATCTTCATGCTGATCGCAGAATACCTTCAAAAATAGAGAAAATAAAGTCAGTGAAGGGACATATCCTCTCTTTTCTATACACCTTGGTAGAAATTATCCTTTAAAAAATATCAGCAACTGTGACCTGTATCACTTGTAGAGCTAGATTACAAGACTGAATAATGTATCACAATATAAGTATTTCATTTTAGACGTTATTGATATATTGATTCAGTTTTTTTGTTTTAAATATCTGAAATTCTGCCGAACTGGTGAAATGACATTTCTTCTTTTATCCACAATTCTTTTTGAGCAGTTTAAGGCACAGTGAGGAAACCTTACAACTTCTCCACAAGTTACTCAGCAGGTAGTTGCTAGGTAAAAGTTAGTGAGTTGCTAGGTAACCAAAGAGTGAGTGAGTTCCTAGGTAACCAAAGAGTGAGCGAGTTGCTAGGTAAGCAAAGAGTGAGCGAATTAGTTGGTGCCACTCATCTTGCTTAGCTAGTAGTGAGAGTTTAAGCAGCTAAAGCCTTTCCTCTCCGACACAGACACATACAGTTTTTAAGAGTTTCATAAGTTTCATACTGAAAAAATATCTGTATGTTATTTATATTAAATGTTTTAGTCCTTAAAATACCAAAAACATCCACATAACTTTTGATTTTGGTTTATCTGCTTACATCATTTTTAAATATTAAATGATTGATGTTTTGATCATCTACTCAGTATTTGAGTAGCCAGTTTACCAATTTTTTTTTTTTACTGTACTTGAGTAATTTCTTGGACAACTACTTTTTATTTTGACTTGAGTAAAAATATGTTGAAGAAATGCTACTTTTACTTGTGTATAATTTTCGGATAGTCTGCCCACTTCTGCTTGAAACCTTCCACATTTTATTACATTACAACACAACTGTGTCTTTCTATTATATGTCATGTGATAGGACACAAGAAAGTAGAAAATAATGGTAAAGAAGAAAAGTGAAATGTTTTTCCAGTTAACAAGTATATTAAGTATATATACTTTGTGTTGTTCTAATCAAATAAAACCCCAGTAAAAATCATTTTAGTTTGCGGTTGTAATGTATTTTTTTTATTATTATTTACATTCCAGGGATATAAATAAGGTTTTGGGTGTTTACTGACATTTTTGCTGTTCAACCCTACTGTAACTTAACTCATATTTAAATATTGGAAAGTGAGAATAATAACTGCTCTAACTTTCAACATAAGAACAAGTTACAAATATGATATAGTTAAAATAATCCTATTTGAAGGCACACAAACAGTTGTTTCCATGAACGTGTTTTATGATGCATTGGACTTTAACTCTTGCATAAGATGTGTGCACTAAACCGACGCACGTTTCATGGTAACTTTACTTAGTTTTTTATTTTATAATATTTAATATTCTTACCTGAAGCTGGTTTTTATCTTTATGAACAGCAACTGAAGAGAAAACACTTTGCTCTCCTCCTTGTCTGCTCTGTTTGTGTGTCTTGGAGTCAAACGTCACATACGCTGTGATAGTTGTGTTATGAAATGTGTACATTGGTCATTGAACTGTCATAGTGGTTCATGTTTTGTTTCACGCAGAACACGGAACAGATTAATCTGTGACGCCATCTAGTGTCAAGTTAGAGCAGCTTCCGGTTAAACTGAACTGATCTGATTAAAACGTTAAGCATTGTGTTGTTAAAGTACTTTCAGTTAAACAAGGTTATTAAATATGCTTTTAAAATGTTAATTTACATAAATGATCTAGATTATACCACATTTTGAGTTATGCTGGAAAATAATAAGGAAATTATTCTCCAGGTTCCCTCTAAATAAGTATCAATGCTGGTTTTATCTTTATTTTTTTATATATATTCAGGGTTTTTTTAGGTGAACTATATGGTACATAATAGTACTTTTTGTGTTCTGAGCTCTACAGTTAACTAAGAATAGCAACAGAGGTGTGAAAAAGTGTTTGCCCCCTTCCTGATTTCCTCATTTTTTGCATGTTTGTCACACTTCAGTGTTTCAGAACATCAAACCAGTTTAAATGTCAGTCAAAGACAACACAAGTAAACACAAAATGTAATTTTTAAATGAAGGTAACCTACATGGTCTGTGTGAAAAAGTGATTGTCCACTAAATGGTTGGGCCACCCTTAGCTGTAACAAATTTAATAATTTGCAATAACTTAAAAGATTTTTGTTTGTTTTGTTTTGTTTTTACAGAAGTATGGAGGAATTTTGGCCCATTCATCATTGCATTTTTGAACAAGAAAGACCTTTTTATGATCATGCCACAACATATAAAAGTTACCTGGGTCAGGACTTTGACTAGGCCACTCCAAAATCTTCATTTTGTTCAGAGGTGGACTTGCCGGTGTGTTTTGGATTAATCAGCTTGACGTCATGAACAGATGGCCAGACGTTTTCCTTCAGGATTTTTAGATTGAAAGCAGAATTCATGGAATCATGAATTCTTATCAACAGCTTATCAGCAGTAAAACTTGATAAGCAGGATCAAGTTTTACTGTTGGTATGATGTTATTTTTCTGAAATGTGGTATTACTTTAATACAAATGCAACAGGACACACACCTTCCAAAGACTTCAGTGTTTGTCTTGTCAGTCCGCAAAATGTTTTTCCAGAAGTCTTGAGAATCATAAAGATGTGTTGTGGAAAAATTGAAATGAACCTTAATGTTCTTTTTGCTCAGCAATAGTTTTTGTCTGCCATGCAGGCCATTTTATCCACTCTTCTCCTTATGGTGGAGGCATAAACTCTGACCTTAGCTGAGGCAAGTGAGGCCTGCAGTTCTTTGGATGTTGTTGTGGAGTCTTTTGTGACCTCTTGGATGATTCTGCTTCGCTATTGGGATAATTTTGGTTGGTTCGCCACTCCTGGGAAGGTTCACCACTGTTCCATGTCTTCACAATTTGTGAATAATAGCTCTCATTGTGATACACTGGAGTCCCAAACTTCAATTACTTTCTTTCTCATGTTTCTGAATTTCTTTGGATCTTGGCGTAATGTCTAGCTTTTGATGATCTTATGCTATACTTCACTTTGTCAGGCATATCCTATTTTAGTGATGTCTTGACTGACAGCAGGTGTTGTATATATATATAGCCCCAAAACTAATTATGTTAGTTTTGGAGCCCATAGATTGGGCACCAAATATGACTCCAGCCCAGGGGCCGGCATCTTTGTAAATCCGGCCCTGCCTAACAGTCATGTAAAAACATGACTGTTACATGTAAATGAACATATACATAAACATAATATGTCTATATTGTATTAAAACAATAAATAGAACTTCAAGGTTCTATTTATTGCATTTCCCTACTTAATGTTTTATTATTACTATTATTTTTGCTAAGCTGAATAAATACTACTCCTAGAACAGACAAATTATATATGTATATTTGAAATTACCCAAAATTATTTTTGCTAAAATAATGCGTAAAGTATGTGGAAAAATGCGCAACTTATTAATGGTTTTCAGCTCAGTCTCCGGCTCTTTGTTGTTGTTCTCACGCTAATATGCGAGATCCGAAGAACCGACTCCACTGCGCGGTCGCATTCCGCCCTGACTTCCCCTCCGCCAGCGGCCTGGTGCTTTGAGATGAACAGAAGATGTCGGTTTCGGGGCTGAAGGCCGAGCTGAAGTTTCTGGAGTCGATTTTTGACCCAAATCACGAGCGGTTTCGAATAATAGACTGGAAACCCGACGAACTAAGCTGCCAATTCAACGTAACAAGAGAGAAGCTGCTGATCATCCACTGCAACATCACGGTGAGTTTGAGGCCAGGCTAGCGACCTGACTATCATCTGAAACCGAATCACTCCTCCGAACCAACCGTGTTTACAAACGCAACTGCGAGTTTAATGTTCGCTTTTGTTTCTTTTTTATTTTTTACATTTGACGATATGTAATTAAAATATTCAACGCGTTGTAAGAAGAAGATAATACCGTGAAATAGTTGACTTCACTTTTAAAATGCAGAGAATGCTACCAAAACGTTTGGTAGTAACGACGCTGCGGTAGCTTTTTTTTTGCTAGCATATTAACTGAAAGTAACGCTAGCTTGCCTGTTAGCCAAAATAACTGCGTTACCACCTCAAACACAACACGTTCCAACTTTATTTTAATAGAAATTGATTTAGTTTGATTAATAAACGAGTTGATTTTGTTATAGAAGCCTCTCACCTTGTAAGAAGATTTTGGAAAACATTTTTAACGAATACGTCGTAACCAGACGCAACGTCCAGAAGCGGTTTAATGGAATGTTGTTTTCTACCTTTCCAGTAAATAGACTGATCCCATTAGCCAACGTTTTGGCACGGCTATGTTACTTCAACACCTTAACATTTTACGGAAACGATTAGATGCCAGACACGTTTAATGAATTATTTTCTGGTTGTATTTATTTGAGGACACAAAGAACGTGTCTCCTAGCACGTCACCAGTTATCATATCCCATGTTCCCCTCTATATTATTATGGTTTTTAGTCACTTTCAAACTAAAAGCGCTTAAAATCCCTTAAGTGTAGATGACAGGTGTTAGAACTGGATGCCCCCGTTGTCACAGCAGTTGTTTTTGTATGCTTCAGGTAGCACAGATGAAGAAGCTCTCCGACATCCTGACCACATCCTTGTTTCTCTGCACAAATACGCACACGCAGTTCAGCTTTCACTGGGTTTTTGGGGGGAACACAGTCTTGTTTTGAGATCACAGGTAGTTGATGCATCTCAATTTTATGTTTCTGGTGCACAGTGGGCTCGTTAAATAGCGAGGCTATTGAAAGGAAAAGGTGGAGCTTTTGTTTGTGTTAGACCAGGTTTAGCTGGGAGCTCCGAGAGGTAAATGTTTTCACAATTGCATAACTATTACAGTTTCTTACTATATTTGTTAACAATTGGATGTGTTGGGGACACACATATATATATATATATATATATATATATATATATATATATATATATATATATATATTACATTAAATTGTTTTTTTAATTAGGACAATTGGATGCATAAAACTATATTTGGCAAATTTGTTTGTGTAGCACATTTTGTGTACCAGCTTTATAACTTTATTTAATTTTGACATTGACTTAGAATGTAAAAATTAAAACCTAATCAATTTAGCCGTACAAAAATAAATACAGAATAAGAAAAAGCCCACATGGATTTTTGACATAACATTCATTAACACAATTTAGGGTCTCAAGTCCATTCAAAACATTCGTTTTATTGAGGAATGTTTATAGATGAGGAAATACTTCTTAATGACTAACAAAACATCTTAATGACACTTTGAAATGTTTCCTAATGCTCTAAGATTTAGCATCACTAAATTTATTAGTGTTCACGTACAGAGTTTGAGTCTGTATTTAAAATTACCTGATATAAATAAAGACAACTTTATTTATAAGCACTTTTACAACATTAAAACTGACCAAAAGGACTGAACAAATCATATAAAAGCATTAGAATAAAACACATAAACGCTATTACACATTAGCCATTCTGGGTGTTTTTGGTTGGTACTGATAGTGGGTTTTGTTTTAGTTTAAATTAGCTGATTTGAATCTTTTTCTGATTAAGTTGTTTGTTGCTTCCTAACAGTGAGATCGCTGCCCAAGCAGTTCTCAGCGGTGTTGATTCTGCACAGAGAGATATTACGATAATAGCTTTACTCTGCATTGTGTAAACCTAATGTTGTTCAAGGCTGTTTGTGTTGAAATCCTCTGATTTTTCTCAATCATTTGAGATTCTCAGGCTGTAAAACCGTCAGTGATCTGATCTTTCTTCAGATCGGTTCCAGTTATGCAGTCAGAAGTGCTTTGGCACCATTCTGGCCACATTATTTTAACTCTGAGCCAGAAAAATACGACCAATCTGCCTTTTAAGTCGAACTACTGACATGATTTGATCCCAAACAAGCAGCAAAATGTTTAAGATGTTTCCTTTCTTCTGCTTTATGTAGTAAATCTACGGGATGGTAACAAAACACAAATGTAACTGTAATATTTTGTGTAATAACTGTGTGAGTTTTGATAACACTGTCATCATATTTACAGCCTGGCAAATCTGCAAGAATACTTAATGCATGGGGGTTTGCAAAAAAGGGGCTGACTCACTGAAGGCTGTTATTATTTCTCTAATTATGGGAAATTAAATTGTCACCAAAAATATGAAGACAAGCCCCCAAATTATTAAAAGCTTGCTGCCATTTTCACTGAATTTAATCGTTTTTGTTACAGGAGGCATGTTTTGACCTATTTCAGTCTCATGTTTTCCTTTTCCGTTGATCATCGACAGCGCTTTAAACCACAGACATGTAGAACAAACGTGTGCGAAATTGTGAAAACTGTGGGCTGAATTCATGTTTGATGTGAGACTAAGTAGATGATGGTAAGTTGTACTCAAGACTGAAAAGTAACTTTAAAATCAAGCTCTGAACTTGCAGATTTTGCAGACGTCTTTTGTGTTCAAATCTAAATTTATTATGCCCTAAGCTTAACCAAGTGCAGCATTAATTATCTTCATCTGTAATTTGATCATTTAACAGGCAGTCCAAAGTGTGGGCTGTGGGCCATTTGTGGGCCTTTAAATTATTTTTTAAAAGTCCTGACAGCAAGTTAAGAATGGCAACAAAACATTTATGAATTGTCAGTTTTTCTTTTTATAAAAAATATTTGAGCCAATCAGAAAAAAAATTAATTGCAATATACAGTTATAGTTATACATATACAAATACATTTAACAATACTGATGAAATGATGCATAAGAAATAAATTTAAAAAAATTACAGTGCACCAGTTCGTGCCCTTTTTTTTCCTGCTTTATCAACTAAAGGAAAAAGAAAATTAAATTAAAATAAAGCTAGAGAACAAACCCATGCCAGCTCCTCAATGTCAACCCCCCAAAATCCCAAGATATTTATACCCTTGTTCATAATCAATGCAGAAAATCTCAATTACAGGCATAGTCAGCTGGGCAAAACCTCCGTTTGAAAAATAGGAAAAACATTCTTTGTTTTTACTTTTAACAAGACAACAATCTGATGCCCTTTTCATGTTGTGGATCTATAATGATCTTCAGATTGATATCATTATGATATTCTAAAAAAGTTATTATTGAAAATGTAAAAGAAAAAGTTTAAATTTTGTGAATTTTGTGACCAGCCAGTAGTTTTGATTTGCCAGTTTTAGTACAAATTTGGTCACCACTGTGTTACAATGTGAATTCACGCAGTTTAATTTCATCAGCTCTTTGAAACATTTGAGTTTTCAATTCTCCTCAAACCATGTCATCTTTTTAAGAACTCGTCGGTGGGTCAGTTTCCTGACACAAAGCATTCAGGCTGACTCAAGATGAAACGCTGTTGAACAAATAAAACCTCAAAGACCTCAAAGACACCAAAATGATGTTGTTGTTTCTCCACATCATTCTGGTGTTTTGTTCAAAAATAACAGAACTTTTAAGCTTTATTAAAATATATATTTCAGATCAGAGTCTATTTTTAACTCTTGTAGCTCTCAGTTTTTATCTCTATATTTAATCTGGATTAGACGTATAAATCGACATTGTTCGTAACTGATGTAGCGTTGTTTCAGTGACGTCTTCACATTCAGCCTGAAGCTTTTTCTCGCCCAGCGTAAACAGAAGTTTGCTGAAACTACAGATCTAATTGCAGCTTCGGAGCCTCTTGTCATTCATGCTGGAGGTGTTGTTTCTCTACATCACACTGAGGCCGAATCATCGCGTTCAGTGGGCGGCTATGTGGGCTGGAGCATTTGGTTTGAAATAAACCTTGACTAGTTTTATGTAAATGTCACCATCTTTACTTCAAACCACAATTTTTGTCTCTGAAAAGCACACAATAAAATTTAAACTGGACACTTAACCCTTAAAGAAAATCCAATAACAAAACAAAAAAGAACAGTTTATAGACTATTTTATATCTGTATGATATCCACGTTCAAAGTTAATAATTGTGATTTAAGACTATAACGAAACAGTCTGAAAAATCCCCTGGCATTGGCATAAATAACCCAATAATAGCCTACCATAATGTCCTGCTATGCTGTGCAGAGACTCAACTGGGCAACAACTAGTTCTAAACCATTACTGGGTTTTCATTTGTAGTCAAAAGTCTAATTTTCTCATTCTAAAGTGTGAAAAAGAACAAAAACGACCCCTGAAGTTATAATTCTGACAAAATTAAGAGAGAAGACATGCCTCCAAATCCGAGGCCATGGTCTTGAGCCGGAAAAGGGTAGAGTGCCTTCTCCGGGTCAGGGGGGTCGTCCTGCCTCAAGTGGAGGAGTTTAAGTATCTGGGGATCTTGTTCACGAATGAGGGAAGAAGGGAGCGGGAGATCGACAGGCGGATTGGCGCAGCGTCTGCCGTGAAGCGGGCGCTGTACCGGTCCGTCGTGGTGAAGAGAGAGCTGAGTCAAAAAGCGAAGCTCTCGTTTTACCGGTCGATCTATGTTCCCACCCTCATCTATGGTCATGAGCTTTGGGTCATGACCGAAAGAACGAGGTCCCGGATACAAGCGGCCGAAATGGGTTTCCTCCGCAGGGTGGCTGGGCTCTCCCTTAGAGATAGGGTGAGAAGCTCGGTCATCCGGGAGGGACTCAGAGTAGAGCCGCTGCTCCTCCACGTCGAGAGGAGCCAGTTGAGGCTCGGGCATCTGGTCAGGATGCCTCCTGGACGCCTCCCTGGTGAGGTGTTCCGGGCACGTCCCACCGAGAGGAGGCCCTGAGGAAGACCCAGGACACGCTGGAGGGACTATGTCTCTCGGCTGGCCTGGGAACGCCTTGGGGTTCCCCCGGAGGAGCTGGAAGAAGTGGCTGGGGAGAGTGAAGTCTGGGCCGCCCTTCTGAAGCTGCTGCCCCCGCGACCCGATCCCGGATAAGCGGAAGAAGATGGATGGATGGATGGATGGACATGATATGCTTTGTTTCTGTTGATTATGACTCTGATTTGGGCAAAGAAATGGGACAGATTATGGAACGTGATTTATTAAAACTTAGAGAAATCATGCTTGTACGTTTTGTTTTTCAGTGATTATTAGTTACATTTTTAAGAATGCAACTAATTATTTTAGTAATCTGCTGCTATCTTCTTTTTCTATCTGATGCTTTCTGCTCTTTCTTTAGGTTTATTTTGTTATTTTACTGTTGTGTCTATTAATTGACTTTATTTTGTATGCTGTTTTTGAGTGTCAAGAAAGGCACCTAAAAGTGAAATACATTATTATTAGTAGTAGTAATTTATTAACCTATCCATTATTATGATGTCTAATTTGATTTAAAAATGACACAAACTGCATATTTAGGCTTTTTATACAACCTTAGAAATGCATTAAACTGGATGATAAAACTTTCCAGTTTGGTGTTTTGGTCTCCACTTGCCCTTTTTTAGAAGGACACTTTGTTTACAGAGACTTCATAATTCATTTTATTTGTTGTTTAGTTTATTTATTTTGTATATTTAAAATGTATTCCAGTTCCAGTGCTAAATGTTCATTAGAATTTAAAATTTATTGATGAGAATGTGCTTTTGCATTGTGGTCCCAGTTCCATTATGTTGCTTTAAAATGGTCTTAAAACCACAACATTAAAATAATAACTTCAGGGACAATTTATCGTCCAGCAATGTTTAGTGTAACAGAACAAGAATAAACTATTAAGATTCCCAATAGCAGATGATTTTTTTCATACCTGAAAACTCAGGAATGAAATGGCCAAAATTGTAAAATTCGCATCAATGAATTTACAACAGCCACTAAATTTGTCCCTTATTGCCTCTCTTACAGGAATCATACCCCTTAACGCCCCCGATATGGTTTGTTGACTCTGATGATCCCAGCCTGGCTGAAGTATTGGAGCGCCTGGAGGATGTTAGGAAAGGCAGCACGTTGGTACGTCGCCTCCTATCGAAGGCAAAATGAATCTCACATTTTCATTTGCAGTTTGGTGTTTTTTCTGTGTTAAGGTACTAAGATCACCGCTTAGAGGGGTGGTATTATGTAAAATTAACTTTTTTGAGCTTTATATCATGTTATAGTGGTATTCCCTCATCAAAAACATACCTGGAGTGATGCCTTGATTCTTTCATGCACGTTTGAGAAATCCTTTGATCTCCATGGCAACCAATTAGCTGTGCAAAATGCCTGGATGGACCTAGCCCCGCCTTCGAGGTGCAGCTCCTCCTCAGAGCTGCAGTTTCTAAGCGTCAAAGTTTCCACATTAGAGAGGAACTCCTCCCCCCTGACTCCCCACTCAGCTCCTTCAGACTAGCCAGCAGCAACACCTGGTTGAACTGCGCACCTGCTGAGATCATTACAAGAGCTACTTCTCAGTGAAATGCTGGTGAAAACATTGTTAAAGGGTTAGTAGAGGAGCAATGTAATGACTTCCTGAAGGTGGAGTTTCAGAAACAACATTTCTCACAGAAACCATCTCACTGCCTCATTTGATAAGTATTCTCCTGGAAAAACTAAACTCCGGTTTGGTTCCCCTCTCTCCTCCTCTTGGAGCTTCAGTGAGGAGGAGAAGGTGATGACAACGCTCGTCCCGTTTTCTAAATGTTCCCTTTTGTTTTGGGGAGGGAAAAAAAAGAGGAAATACTTTTTCTTTAGCTGCTTTGGCAAAGTGGAGCCCCACAGTCAGATAATTGGGCCTGTCTTCTTAAAGAGACAGCCCCAATTATCATTTATTAAATTACAAAGTAAATTTTCTTTTAAGTCATATTTGATATACATCATTTTTATAACAACTGAAGTTAACATAATTACTTTATTTTGCCATAAAATGACACTGTGGGCCACAATACTGCCCCTTTAATAGCATCTTGAAATGTTTTTATTAACAAATGTTCCTATGTATCATCTCATTTTAAACACTGGTTATTTATAAAGTCCCTTAAGACAACCTTTGTTGTGAATTGGTGCTATAGAAATAAAATTTCAATTATTTTCCTTGTATTAACACCCTGTTATCTTTTTGTACTTTCCAGCTTCTTCAGCAACTGAAGCGGCTTATTTGTGATCTCTGTCGGCTTTACAATCTGCCACAACATCCAGATGTGGAAATGCTGGACCAGCCTCTACCTGCTTGCCCGATTACACAAGAGCGCAAGGTGGGCTCAGAAAACGAGAGCCGTATTTGTCAAAATCAGAAATTCAGTTTGTTAACGTGCATTATTTTACTCTACAACAGCATGGGCCAACAGATGAGGTGACATCTGAAGAGGAAGAGGAGGAGGAAATGGGAGAGGTTCCTAGAAACACTTCTGATCAAATTTGCATTGTGAGACGCTGTCTTACCCAGTTAATTTAATTTTCTAACTTTGTTTCAATGCTGTAATCCGTCGCAGCAGGACATAGATCTGGACCAAGACCTGGACCATTACGACATGAAAGAAGAGGAACCCCCAGAGGGCAAAAAGTCAGAAGACGACGGGATAGAGAAAGAAAACCTGGCCATCTTGGAAAAAATACGTAAAAATCAGAGACAAGATCACTTGAATGTAAGTTCCTCGTCTGTTATTGTTACTTTATCATAAATAAACCAGTAACTGGCTAAATGTTGTACTCTGTTACATTTACCTGAATAACTTTTTGAAAAAAAATGTACGCTGTACTTAAGTAATTTTATTATGAATTATCGCTACTCCTACTTGAGCAAAATTTCTGGATTCTCTACCCAATGTGGAGAATAATTCAGTTTTAACCAAAACTTTACCAGACAAACAACTGCAATTCCTGTTAAAGTTTTAAAATGAAAGAATTTTCTCTTTCGCCTGATTTTGTAGGGCTGGACAATATGGCTGAAAAAATTATCATGATACAAGCGTTACATACCAGTCAATAGCAATAATTATTGATGAGGTTTTTTTTATTATTATTATTATTTTAAAATATAGGAATTACTACCTGTACTATACTATACTTTACTATATAGGTGTGGGATTTTCCAATTTTACCCACAGTTTTCACTCCACACCGTTGTTTATTTTTCAGCAGTTATGAAGCACAGTGCCAAAAAAAACGTTAAACTGCTGCTGTGGCAGTTACTCAGCAGGTTGTTGCTAGGCAACCACAGAATGAGTGAGTTGCTAGGTAACCAAAGAGTGAGTGAGCTGGTTAATGCCACCAACCCTGTTTATCTGAAACAGAGTTCTGTAAAAATACAGAATATTTTATAAAAGGTATTATCTATTGATATTGATCATATGTCTATCTCAATAGATGTTATTGATTTATTGTCCAGCCCCATTTGTAATTGTGTAATTTATATGAATTCTTTTAATTTTGGTCTCTAAAAGCTTTATACTTTGATCAGTCTGATGATGTAATTTTTAAGTATTAAATGAAGTTACCCTGTACTTAAGTCGCCTTTTTACCACTGTTTTACTCTACCTTGAGTAATTGCTTGTACTTAAGTAAAAACATGTTGAAGTGGTTCTACTCTTATTTGAGTATAGTTTCTGAGTACTCTTCTCACCTGCAATAATAACTCTCATTGTACTCAGATATGGTAATCTCCTTTCTGGAGTTAATATCTAAGAACTGCATACCTGTCTGTGTTGAAACCCTTTAATTAGCTACTTAATTAAATTGCAGGGTGCCGTTTCTGGTTCAGTTCAAGCCTCGGATCGCTTAATGAAGGAACTCAGGGAGATCTACAGGTCGCAGAGTTACAAGACCGGTAAACACGCCCATCGTTCACTCACTGTAACTTTTATTCTAACGCTTTGAAGAAGGTGCATTAACTTTTTCCTGCTAATTTCTCAGGTATTTATTCAGTCGAACTAGTCAATGACAGCCTTTATGAATGGCATGTCAAGTTAAGGAAGTAAGTTCTACCTTTGGCTTGTTTTTTGAAGCTGATCTGCCTCTGATAAGCTTCTCTAATCTGCTGGATCTGACTTGTGTTTCTGTTCAGGGTAGATCCAGATAGTCCATTGCATAGCGACTTGCAGGTTTTAAAAGAAAAGGAAGGAGTGGACTTCATTCTGCTCAATTTCTCTTATAAAGTGAGTTGGGAGGAAACATTTGTATTTTCTTAGTGGGAGAAGGGTGGAAATTATTTCTCAAAACTGACCTTTTTCTCTGCTGCCTGACAGGATAATTTTCCTTTTGACCCTCCTTTTGTACGGGTTGTCTCTCCTGTGCTTTCTGGAGGGTACGTTTACTGTTGTAGTTATGCTGTTCATATCTTTACAAAGTATTTATTAATTAAAACATGAATGATGTTTGTTTTCAGCTATGTTCTAGGAGGAGGAGCGTTGTGCATGGAACTTCTCACAAAACAGGTATGTTCACAAGTCTCTTACAGTGTTTATAAGTTTCATCTCTGGTGGTTGGAGAGCTGTATTCATTTAGTTATGTGTGTGTGTTTTCAGGGCTGGAGCAGTGCCTATTCAATAGAATCTGTTATTATGCAGATAAATGCAACTCTGGTTAAAGGCAAAGCTAGAGTGCAGTTTGGAGCCAATAAGGTACGGTGTCATCATGAGTCAGTGCCCTAAAAACAAAGCTTTGGACTTTCAAGTTGTTCATTTTTAAACAGTCAACATCCAATATGTGTGGATTTAATTCAGTTTATTTATATTACATATAATCACATTAAATCCAGTTATCAAACAATGTCTAGTTGTCTCTTAAAGAAACCCAGAGCCCAACAGAACGCCAGACCAGATGTAGCTTCTATGGAGAGGAAATTGAAAAGCTAAGAGTTCAAATAACAGCAAATAATGCAGGTTGGAGAGTAGTAGAAGAAATTAGCGGAGCGAGGAAATGTGGTCGGTTTGTTCTCCAGCAGCAGCCAAACATTCAAAACCTCATTCAAACATAGCCTGGGCTTTGTGAAAACAAATGTCTTACCCACATTGTTAAAAAAAAAAAAAAAGCTTACACAGTATCGGTTTTAGAAAGGTTTCCATCCACATGAACCCACAGAAATCTGCCACTGAGGGTTGTTTTAAACATGCCAAACCCATAGGGGGCAGTGTAGCTGAAACCTATGTCAGCCAATCAGATTGCTCCAGAACACCAACTTCCAGTTAGGAGTCAAACATGGCGACAGGAGGGTCACAGGTGTGGACAGAGAGATTAGTTGAACTATTTTAAACAGCATATTAAAATATGAAATTAATAAATCGCAACACAATGTCTGTTGGGAAACATGTTGAAGCAGTTATGGAGTTTTCTAAAATCTTCATTTTTGTTTGGAGTTTTTATTAGAGATGGACAATATGGCTGGAAAACATATCACAACATAAGTGGTTCATATTGGTTCATATTGATAATTATTGATTAGTTTTTATTTTTTTATTTTTAATTTTAATATCTGAAATGCTGCCAAGCTGGTGGTGTGACCTTTCTGGTTTTATCCTCAGTTTTTCTCCACTACGTTTTCTTTTTAAGCAACTGAAACTGCTGCTGCGCAAATTACTGAGCTGGTTGTTGCTAGGTAACCAAAGAGTGAGTGAGTTGCTAGGTAACCAAAGAGTGAGTGAGTTGCTAGGTAACCAAAGAGTGAGTGAGTTGCTAGGTAACCAGAGAGTGAGTGAGTTGATTCCACCAACTTGGCTTACCTCACCATGAAAGGTTGAGCAGCTGAAATCTTTCCTCTAAATCCTACATCCCCCAGAATGCCGTGCGATTCTGGATCAGATCTCGGTGAAATTATTGAATATTTGATCAGATGTATTATCTATTGATACTGATCACGTCTCTACCGCAAAATATATTGTTACTGATTTATTGTCCTGCTGTAGTTTTTTTGTTATTATTAATCGTTTTGATGACTTAATTAAAAAAAGAGTTTTCATATGGATGAAAAGCCAAAACGCATGTAAATATATTAGTTTTCCCAGATGTCTGGTTATGTTTGCTGTGGCTGCTCCTCGTCTATGGATTTCTCTCCCGGACTATTTGAGAGCCCTGCAATTATTGTCCGATTTTAAAACCGGCTTGAAAACTTTTCTTTTTAGACAAGCCTACTCCACTTTTAAATGACTGTCTTTTTTCGATTGTTGATTTTATTTGTTTTTAGCTGCACCATGTAGCACTTTGAGATTTTTATTAATGAAAAGTGTGTTTTAAATTAAATTGATTATTATTATTATTATTATTTGGACTAAGCCTAAAACAAGGTGGTTTGATTTTCCTCCTAATTCACGATGATGCATTAATTGTAGTTTGTCTACCACAGAAAAATAACAGTTTGCAGTCATGTGGCAAAAGCAGGATGAATATTTAGGATTTTTAATTTTTGTCATTTGTGTTTTAGAACCAGTACAATCTTGCCAGAGCACAACAGTCATACAAATCCCTGGTGCAGATTCATGAAAAGAACGGTATGTTTAAAATAATTACAGTCTTGATTAGTTTTTATAAACATCCACCACCAATCTAGTCTTTTCGTTGTTGTTGTTCCAGGCTGGTACACGCCACCTAAAGAGGACGGATAAGGAGCTGCCGCCACTATGCACTGGGAACACGTCATCTTTGGGTCATCTTGTTTTATTCAGAATATTTTCCCTCTCTGACTTACTGGGAATATATCATCTTTCTCACAGAAACCATCTCGCTGCCTCATTTGATAAGTATTCTCCTGGAAAAACTAAACTCTGGTTTGGCCCTCCTCTCTCCTCCCCTTGGAGCTTCAGCGAGGAGGAGAAGGTGACGACAACGCTCGTCCCGTTTTCTAAATGTTCCCTTTTGTTTTGGGGAGGAAAAAAAAAGATTTTTCTCCCTTTACATGTGAGGAAATACTTTTTCTTTAGCTGCTTTGACGATGTGGAGCCCCACAGTCAGTTTCCCTCTTGTCTAAATGACGTTTTTCCTTTTTTTAAAAAAAGATCAAAACCGAAGCTCTTGAAGTGGCACCTCATTGCACCAGTTTTTAAATTAACTGTGATTTGATTTAATTCTTTTGTTTTTCTTTTCTTTTGGAAATTAACAGGTACATAAAATGCATATATTGTTTTTAGACATTGTTTGAAAACTTTTTTTTTGTTATTTGAACATCCTAGACAATAAAAGATGTTGGGAGCGTATCTTACAGCCGAGAAGAACTGCCCCTCTTTTCAAAATGTATGAAGTGTAGAATAAAAAAAGCTTCAGTGTTTCTGAACGAAGATCAGCCGAATAGGAAGATTACATGTGATGAGAAGATATTTTACGTTTTGCCTTGTTTCTGTTCTCGCCCCTCCAAGAGCTGCTGGACGTTTCATTTTTTCAGCTCAGAATTGGCAGCATGTTGTTTTCATTTGCATATTTTTCTTTGAGCTGGAATTGGCTCTGTGAAGAAAGCTGAAGGTTTTTGTTGTTTTGTTTTGGGGGTTTTTTTCCCCAACAAAGTGTGGCTATTAAATGAGTCCACTCTTCATTCAGTTTAAAGTCAACCAAAACATTTTAATCTCTTTCTTTTCACTCTTCTGCAGTCAGAAGAGTAAAAAGAAACAGAAAGTTCCTCCCTAAATAACCAAATAAGCTATTCTAGATCAATTTCTGCCTAAATATTCACAGCAAACAAACCATTTTATTCACATGTCCTGGTGGCTTTTGACTTATTTGTTGTTGGTAAAAGCAGAAAGTGGGCATTAAATGCTTAAATCTGACATTTAATCACAGAATCCTTGAATTATCCTCTACTTAAACTTATTTTAGCTCTTATTGCTGTTTGAGCCTGTTGACTTTTATACAGTCTAACAGACTGTGCCCAGATTAAACCATAAAAACTCAAACTGAACTTACTTCAAATGCATTAAACGTCTTGAGAAATGAAAAACAAATTGAACCATTTATTGCCAGTTTCTTCTGATCCTTTTATCGCGTTCTCTATTAAAACATCTTGGTTTCCTGTTTAATAGCTACACCTTGTCAGTTAGTTTCAGCTTTTCTGTTTCCTTTTTGTCTCCAGAATGTTACATAAATGTGTTTTTTATGTTACCGTTAGAGAGGGGTTGGTAATCTGACGTAAATCTAAAAATCCTGATGAAATTCAAACATTTTGCCCTCCTGTAACACACTGAACTCAATCTGATGGTTCTTTTGCAGTTTATTTGCTAACACTGTCTGCAAAAGTAAGTCTTAAAGGCAACTCAGGTAATCAGCGACTCTTACGCGAACGTTCGTGCATATTTGTGTTGAGTTATCTGGTTTTCTGGCTGAACAAAAAAAGAAACTAAATATTTTAGAAAAATTTTCGTCTTTAATTCAGTTGAAGACGCTGACGGAAGGAGCGTGGGGGTTTCTGTAGCATGACGTACCTCTTCTTCGATATCCACTGTAATATTTGCTTTGTTTACTCCCAGTTTTGGTGTGCAATCAAATGTTTCCAGGTCGTTTGCATAGCTGGTCTTGGAGAACCGCTATAAGAACACGCGAGGTTCATATTTTCAGGTCGGAGAGACAAAAAAAAATAAAAAATCTCGCTCTATATTCTCTTGTTGCATTTGTTTGGGGGAGAGTTTCTCACCAGGATATTCACGCCGTGGATCTTTTTGGCATTTTTACCAACAACTTTAGCTGCAAAGTCTTCATTCGTCTGGGAGAATGCCTCCTAAAAAACGCCGAAACGCTGATCACAGGAGATGTTACAGGAGGCTGACGGACAGGAAGTGATCACGTCTCCACGCTTCCCGACCTGGACTGTGTCGGAAACATCCATTTTCTCTCGATTATCGTTGAATTTTGAATTCGTTTGAATCACCAACAGAGACGATTGAATCTTGCTTTTGGCTCACCCCACTTTCTGTTCATTTTTCAGTTTCCATTTGAAGATATTTTGACCATGTACAGCAATTTGTAAACTTGCATCAAGTTTATGAATAAAGAATTTTAAAATATTTGATGTTTTCTGTTTTTAAAATTTGAGTCTTGATAAACTAGATCTGCATTTAATAAACAAAATATATGCATATATCCAGATAAATAAGTATCAATACGTTTTCAGATTTTAAGTAATTTTCTAAGCCTGTTTGAAAAAAGTTTAGTTCGATTCTGTCTGCATTTGTTTGATCATTTAAAACAGGGGTCCCCAAACTTTTTCCTGTGAGGGCCACATAGCTGTTCCTTTCTCTGGTCGGGGGCCGGTCTTAGTTTTTGGAGAAAGAAACCTTAGAAAATTCTTGTCGACACCTGGGGGGCTGGGGGGCAATGACACATTCGCGCTTTTAGATAGATTTTTTTTACCCAGAATGCAAATGGAAAAAACCGTGAGTGAAACGGTGACTGGGACTGACTAGTATATATATTCCATTGAGGGAAAGTTAGTTTCACATCTGCTCAAGAGCCCCCTGGTGGTTGAAGAAAAATCCACATATAAAACATACAATATATGAAAAAAAAAAAACACTGAATGCTCTCTGGTATGAGGAGGCGGGCCGGATCCGGCATTGTTCAGGGGGCCGGACCACATGACGTGGCGGGCCGGATCCGGCCCGCGGGCCGTAGTTTGGGGACCCCTGATTTAAAACATGTAGCAAAATGAGGCGTAAATACTTTTTTCCACAGAACTATAAATGTTTTAAATGCACAAGACAAAACTAATTAGCAAAAATTATGAGCCTCAGATATTAGTCAAAAATTGTAAAAAGCTGCCTTAGATTATATATTTCAACATTTCTGACAACCTTATTACTCATCTCAAGGTTAAAATGTATAAAAGTAAATAGACGTGAAATAATATCAAAAGTAAAGAAACTATAAGTTGAGATTTTTTAAACTATACGTTTAAATGATTTTTCACATTTTTCATGAAATATACTACATTGTCCCAAAAGTCATTGTATGGATTTTTCCCCCGCCCCCAAAATCACCACTTTTTTTAATTAATTATTTTTGCCAAAAAATTATTTAGGCAAAAAAAAAAAAATCCCTTCTAGTAAAAAAATTAGTTTTCGATTGAATTTTTATTATTTAAAACTAATTTAAATCTGTCATTAAGGTTCGGAGGCAAATCTCTGTAGGACTGTAGAAGCTGGATTTTCAAAACAAGAGTGCATAAAAATACAAAAAGAATCATTTTTATATTCAAATGAATTTCAAATATTTTCATTATTTTTGGCCATTTTTATCCAGAACAAGAAATATAATTAGTTTTTTAAAGAAAATTAAAATTAACCATGAATTTAAAAAAATCAGCTCTAATAAGTGAAAAATAACAAAACAGGCTGCAACAAGAACAATTTAATTTCTATCAGGGAAAGACCAAATAATACAAAAGTAATACACAAAAATGTTATTCCTCATTTACGTCACTTATGGAGACACAGCCTCCTCAAACATTTATTTCATCTAAATACAGCATGTTCTTACTGAATGTGGCAAATATTTACCTCATTATATATTCAGGACTACCTATGATAGAATATATGATAATACATTTCATACAACATACAGTACAGTAACGGTGGGAAACATGGAAAATGGCTTCACAGCTTTGATACTGTGACACGAAATGCAGAGTGACATCTGTCCAAGAACCAGCAGCTACTGGGAAACAATAAATTCACACCTAATCCCAGGAACTGCATATGTCTGTGCAATGTTTTACATTTACTGTACAGGAGAAGAAAAAGCAGATGTGTAGTGTCCTTTACAGTAATAACTACTTTATGTGCCTCTGCTGGTGAAAAAAAGTAATAAAATCAATCATCAAGCCTGTTTTTTGTTTCATAATACTCTGTAATAAAGCCAGGTAATTAAAAAGAAGCCAGTTTGTGCTGAACCTGGCTAGATTCTGTTGACTATATAAGGAAGTATTGCTTCACTGTAATTTCAACTTACTTTAACGTGAATGTCTACAGGAAATCCAGCACAAACATTTAATTAAAGCTGCAGTATTTAACTTTTATTTAAATACATATATATCATTTTTTTTACATATTTGTTAAAAATGCCACCATGTCTTGACAGTATTTTTCAGATAACCTGTGAAAAAATCAAACTCCTCCACCTCTTCGAACAAATCCGATTACTATCCGATGAAACGCACAAAAACGACCAGTCAGGGCAAGGAAGCGGGGCTTAGCGCTGTGAATCAAGCTTGTGTACTGGCTCTTTAAAGTCCCAACGGTGGAGAAACAACTCATACAGGAAAACCATTTATCAGCCATCTGCAGTGGCTATGCTAACAAGCGAGAGGGTGATTGACAGCGCTAAGACCCGCCTCCTAACTCTGATTGGTTGTTTCTAGTTAGCACTAGGAGAATACAAAGATCAACTTTTTCCACACATACTATACAGTTTCAACAAATATGTGTTGTTGTTTTTTTTGTAATTTTTTATAAAAGTTACATACTGCAAGTTTAAATGAAAAAACAACTTTCAAATAATTATAGTTTGAGCAACATTTCACCACAGCCATGGAAGGGACTCAATGAGCATGTGCTTCAGTCTCGACCTCATGTTACCCAAAATACACAGGAAAAACAGCGGTGGATACAAAACCAAAACAAGAAAAGTAAAAACAGAGCTTATTAAAAACCACATCATCACAACGGGACAAGACGACCCACAGACTTTTGAAATAATGACCATTTAGTTACACATCTTCACAGCTTTGTCAAGCAAAATACTTTATTTTACCGTAATAACCGTCTACTCAATGCTGAGGAAGTTCTCAAAAACAAAAAAAATTACACTAGTCTGAAATTTTCTGGCTGGAAAAGTCACCAAATCTCACACTTTGTCTTCAGTCTTACGTGGAAATAATTGACTTTCAATTTAATATTCTATCTTATTTTACATTAATTCATGGAATAACACCAACAGCCACAGGATGACACACTAATGTAAGGCCTGAAATTCACAAGCATCCACATGTAGGGAGTTAATGGAAGAATATGCCAAAGAGGGGAGGGAAACATCCATCACTCTGAGTACCTACAACAAATATTACCATAATTTACCATTTTTGTGTCTTTTTTTAACTGTAGTTTTGGTTTTCCTTCATTCTTCCCCTGTACAACATTGATCTGGAATGTTTATCCAATAAAAACACTAAACACTGAACCAAAATCAGCCTGCTCAACATTTATAACCAATCACTCCAATATGGGTAAGCTGGGGTAATACAAGAAAACAAAAAATAAATCGAAAAAGCTTGATGTTTTACAGGCTTAAAAACGGCTATCGCACCTTACCTGAGAATGTAGAAAACATCAAGCAATCTTAACAAAACAGGTCCCAGAACAATAAACTTGATTAAACAGAAGAGGATAAATTAATTGGCAACACTGGTAAAGATGTGAAAAAGGCCTTAAAATAAATCCGGTTTTCAATATGTTAGAAATCCAACTTTCAACGTGATTACTGTTCAGTGTGGAAAAGAAAATAATGTTAGAAATAAATGTGTGTATTAAAGACCCACTGCTTTTATACTTTAACTGGAACCATTCGATTTGTTTACATTAGACTTAAAGAAGCCGTGTTTCCATTACAAATGTGCCCCAAACTTTGTTCATCTTTTGCTCATGTAAAAAAAAAATCTAAATTTTGCAGCTGCTGTGTTTCCATTAAATAAGAAATGCAATTAAAATCAAAAGTGAGTCCGTTTGTTTATGTGATAAATGGTTTAAAAACATGCTGTTCCATCGTTCTCCTTCCACTTCCTGTCGTCTTCTTCATCGTTTCTGCTAGAAGTAACATTCGGTTGTTGATCACATGACTTGTCTCGTATGTTGCAAAATTTCATCCTTTCAACCTTTTATTGAAAAACAAGTTTTTTCGAAATTGCCTTCTTTCCATTATGCATATTTATTTCCATACTTCCAATTTGTGCAATCATATGGTCAATGAAAAAACAGCTGGTGTAGATAACTCCAAATCAACTTTTTTTTAACTTATAAACTGTCTAAAAAATGTTATTTAGGTTATCATTATATTTCTGTACTAATTTTGACATTTTCATGTAAATTAGTTTAGTAAAACCTGAAAAGTTTCTCTCAAAGGGTGCATTCACACTGCAGCCTGAAGTGACTCAATTCCGATTTTTTGGCAATTCCAATTTTTTTGCCGGGGCCGTTCACACTGCCAGTAAATGCGACCTGTATGTGTTCTGCAATGTGAACGGGCAAACGACCTGAAAGTGTCCCGCATGCACAGTAGAGGGCGCCATAGCGTCGGCGTTCTCAGTGTTCTGCCAACCGCCATAAACAGAAGAAGTGCTCAGTGATTGCGGAAGTAAACATGGAGGCTAACGGTGGAGCTTAGCTTACACATTTGAAGTTGTTGTCCGATACATATTAACAACTTAATCCTCATATAGTCCGTCATGGTTGTTTTTCTTCCCGCTTGCGCTTATCAGGACGCAGAAAAGAGACGTTTGTTGAGAATCACTGACGTTCAGTTAGGATGAATGTGACCCGAACGTTAGGTAGCATTTGATTCAGATACGTGTCGGATATGGGTCACATTCGAAAAAGAATCTGACCTGTGCTGTTCACACTGCCATGAAAAGATCGGATACAGGTCGCATTACGTCAAAATAATCAGAATTGGGTCACTTTAGGCTGCAGTGTGAACGCACCCAAAATTGTTGAATCATTTCTGTCTACGTCGCCTTGGCAGAACCTTTTTCTTGCCTTGTGCCCAACAGCTATTGTTTGACCGATTTTTCTCTTGTGGAATTATTCTGCTGCAATGACAGATGCATTTATAACAAGGTTTTTAACACATCTTTACCAGAAATGACAACATAACTGTCTGAATCTGTCACACACTGAACATTTCATAATATTTGACAAAAAAAACCCCTCATGATTAAACTGCAGCTTCAGCTGTAGCGTTGATGCTATCGCTAGCAGATGAGCCTAGCATAACGGCAAAATGACAAGGTAGAATAATGACTTTGACTCCTAGAAAACTTATGAAAAATTTACCCATAAAATCCTGTTTTAAGATGCAATAAACAGAATTTGGGCTGATTGTAACACCTTTGTTGCATTCAAACAGAGTCAGATATATTTTTATACTGCGAGTTAGCTTATACAGCTTAATAGCTGTATAAGCTACAGCTTACTAGCTGTATAAGCTAACTAGCCAGCTTATATAGCTAGCTAGCTAGTTGTATAATGGCTAGTAGCAAGCTAAGAAGCTATTAAACAGGGAGCCATTATATCATACAAATGCTAGCAGCTAGCTAGCTAGGAAGCTGCTAATGAATGTTTACACTTCTCCAAAACTAGTCCTCAGATTAGAGATTTTTCTAACAAGTTCTCTTGATATTTTTATGCTAGCCAATGAGCATTAGCTGAGAAACTAGCTGCTACTCCTTGTAGCAAAACAAAGTCGATTCAAAATCAAGCAGGAAATGTCAATTTGCGAGTATGAGTGCTGCAACACATGATGGGACCTGAATGAATAAAATAAACGCCTCAGGGGATTTCTTAAAGCCATATCAGACTGGAGGAAATCAACACACATGCTGAGCAGCAAAACAATAACAGCAATTTGTTGATCTAAGAGTGAACTTTCTAAAACTTTTAAATTTGCTTAAAAGTACGTTTCTGACTCCTTTTTCCCTACATTTTTCTACCTAAAAATGATCCTGTCCTGCGTTAAAATGAAGGGCACCTAATTCTTAGTTGTGTTCATAATTGTTCTCTTTTTAGCTCTCCCTCTCCGCTCCTCCGGCTGGCCCGTCTGTCCTACATTGGGTCATCGTAGTTGTAGGTGGGAGCCGCTGAGTACTGGTTCTGCTGCATGGCTCCCTGTGCAGCTCCCATGGCCGCCTGCTGGGCGGCCTGCTGGACGTGTGGGTTCTTCCAGGCCCCCGTGGCCCACTCCTCCTGGGCTTTACCCAGACTCCCACCGCTGCCACGGTAGAAGTTGTGGACCTGGAAAAAGTAGAGCATGAGAATTAATCACTGCCTAAACTAGAGCTGAAACGATTATTCAGATTAATTGTGATTAATCAATTGTTGGAAAACTCATTAAGTAATTTGGTAATCGATTAATCGTTAAGTGGAGTTTGCAGACACAAAAAGGCAATTTGCTGGGGAAAAAAACACCCTCAGAGCAGTAATTAAACCAAAATTATACAAAATATAAATTACTATTATACTAAGTACGTCTGAAAATTGATGACTGAAAAAAAATGGTAACTAATTTAACAACTGTTAACTGGAGTATAGACTCAAAACAAGAACATTTTCTGAAAATATAACATATTCAAAGCAGTAATTAAAACATAACTGTACAAAAATATATGCACGTTTTGCTTTTAAGTAGGGCTAAATTGATTAATCGGATTAATCTTAACTGATGATTGAAAAAATTGTTAACTGATTTAATAATTGATTATATTGTTAACTACTAGAGCATAGATTCAAAACCAGGCAATTTTCATAAAAAAATAAAAATATATATATAATTACAGCATTAATTAAGCCAAAACTACAATAAATATACCAGATTAAAAAAGAAAATCTAATCTTTTACAGAAAGAGACTCAGAAATAAGGAATAAAAACCATACTGGTAAAAGAATAAAAGATAAATTAATCACTACTCAAACTGAAATTGAACCTCTTGTTGAAAACAAAACAAACTGCACAAATAATATGCAATAAACCAAATTTAAAGGACGCGACTGAAAGGCAAAGCCCAACTCAGATCAAAAAGAGCTTCCTGATTCGCCCAAAGAAAAGCGTAATGATCACCTTAGTAAGGGCGACGAACGAGAGCACAGCCACGGCAGTGAACATGATGGTGGGAATCAGCATCACGACAGCTGAGCCGATGTTGGTGCTAAAGAAGGTGATGGTGGCCAGCCAGCCGCTGAGGAGAACCACAATCAGATCCTGAGTCACACATGACAGAACTGTAAAATAATGGCATGCATGACAAACAGTGCTTTCATCTAATGACTCAGTTTAACGACTCTGTTCATCACACCCAAAAGAACTTGAGAAAGATCATTTACCAAAAAATTTCAACATTTAAAGGGGACAAATTAAGTACAACTTACATTTTGCAGGTTTTTATACTTCCATTTGGATTTCTGCTGCTTCTAAAAACAGTCCAAGTCCTTATAAAACCACCTAGCTGTTTTTTGGTAATCAGTTAAAGTTTTTTAGTGTCTGGAAAATGAGCTGTTTCAAAAACCTTCCAAAAGTGCTACCTAGCAACCCCAGCAGAGCCCAGCCCGTTACCTAGCAACCCTAAAAGAGCTCCAGCAGATTTGGTCATCTGCTTTTTACTGTGAAATTTGGTCACATTTCACAAGTACCCATGAAATGTGACTTAATAACAGACTCATTTTCCAGACACCAAAAAACATAAATTTACTGCCAGAAAATGGCATTGTGAGTATTTTAAGCGCTTGTGCTGTTTATAGAAGCAGTTGGAATTATAAAAACATCCAAAATTTTATATTTATTAAGAAATTAAATATTTTCAAAACTGCTTTTTTGCCTTAGATTTCAAGACCTGAAACATTTAAGTGAGACAAGAAGAAAATAAGTGAAAATAGAAGAAATCTGTACTGAAGTGACTACTTTTTCACACTGAAAGCTCTTACCAGACCCCCCAACCTGGGATGCCAACACTCTGGATGATACTTATCACCACCTGAGCCATGAAGACGAAAAAGAAAGCCATGAAGTTGAAAGAGCTGTCGGTCCTGCAGAGAGACAATGATTGACAGAATAAATGATTCAGCAGAAACTATTTAAAACGTGTGCTGAAAGAGAGGCGTGCTTACTTAAATGCCTTGTAGATGGGCCTGAACCAGCACACGTAGGAACATGGGGTGAAGAGTATGAGCCACAGGAAGGCCATGCCAAAGTTGGTAGCTCCTCCACCTCCACACATCCAGGCCAGGCAGCCAATCAGGTTAACGGCTAGCGTGGCAGAGTTCACTGTCAGCATCCCAGAGACACAGAGCAGCAAAACCCGTCAGCTGGTTCATCGTGCAGCAGGATTTAATCACTGTGGATTCCTTTAACGCCCTCCGGATCATTCTGTCTCTGCTCCGAGTTTATGTTAAATAGGTGTGGAAAAACTTGAGCTAACTGGAACTGCTAGTCTTCGCTGGTGTGGATGTAGCTGTAAATTTACCTTAATTTAAGAGCCAAGAGTATCTTAAAATCTCCAGACTTCAGTGACCATTTTAAATGTTAAAGTTAATGGCCATTTAATTAGGAAAAGCACAGTTTGCCAGAACGTTTGAAGGGAATATGGCAGCAGGATTTACAAATATACTCCTCGTAAAGCTTGACCAGGAAGTCTTCTGAATACCAAAGCACACCAGAGTCAAATGTGGGCCAATTGTCTAACAGCCTTGGTGAAATTGGGTCATCCACACAAGGAGACATTGTTGTGATAAGGGGGTTGGGTCAGAATGTCTCAACAATCTCAGTACAGTATGTTTCACTTCCATTTTTCCTTGACCTTTGTCAGGTAGAACCATATTGTGAATTTTGGACAACTCAGGTCAGATTTGTCGGATTTTAGAACCTGATAACGTTCAGACTATTTTATTCTGATGTGCAAAAGCATAAAATGTTCTTTCTCTTTTCAGTCTTAAGTAACACATTTTTGGAGCTGTCCAAACATGTTGGAACTCAGCTGGGGTTGCTAGGTAACAGGCTGGGCTTGGCTGGGGTTGCTAGGTAACGGGCAGGGCTTGGCTGGCGTTGCTAGGTAACGGGCAGTGCCTGCTGATTTGTGAAGTTATATTCAGAACGTTTTTGAAACAGCTAATTTTTTATAGCACTCGGACTGTTTTTATAAGCAGTAGAAACACAAATGGAAGTACAAAAAAAAAAAACATGCAAAATGTGTATTTTTCATAAAAGGTCCCCTTTAAAACCAAACAACAAATCTTTTTCCAATTGTCATTTTAATAAATTCCTCCAATTTCTTATTTTATCTTTTTAGTCAAAATAATAAAGGAACAGAAAATGTGTCACTTAGCCTATTTAATCATTTAACTTGTTACTTTTTTTATATATCAATGTAATTTTTGGTAAACAATATGACATGGCATAAGCAAATAACCATAATACAGTTTAGCTTTGTGAATGACCTGAAGGCAGGCAAACTGATGCTTTTATAAACAATGTGGAGAGCAAAATATTTACTATTCTTCCCATACAGGTTCACTCACAGATCCAGAGGTAGTAGAGCCTCTTGCACACGGAGCGCCGTTGTTCTGGGATTTCATTAAAGTCCTGGTAAAAACATGGCTTGAGGGGGATGAATCTTGGCAAGGGAGGGAAGTTGTTTTCTGGCAAACACAGGAAAAGTAAGAATGAATCACTAATGAATGAATGAATCCCATTTATTTCTTTTAATAAATGGGAAACACTTTGTGTATCTGAGTGAATCAAAAGTGGTAAAGCTTACCAGCCATGATCACTGTTAAGTGTTTTCCTCCACTTTCAAATCAGATGCAGAAACTTCAATCTGAGCGGCCGTCAGAACTAAAACTGTAGAAGAAGAGCTGCATTAACATCACCAAGACTACAGAGGCCACAGCTTCTTTCCTGTCCATCAAAATTTTAATTATTGCAATGATTTGACTGCAAAAAATAAAGGAAAAGAAAATGGCATTAAACTGACTGAACGCATCCATCCAACATTTAGCTTTATTTCTGTCTGAATATGCAGAAATGCAGAGTTGGGTACTAACTAGTTATATTTATTCAATTACATTTACATGAGTAACATTTTGGGAAAAAACACTTTTAAGAGTATTTTTACTACGCTGTACTTTTTATTTTTACTTAAATAATTTTATTATGAAGTATTTCTTCCCTTACTTGAGTTAAATTTTTGGGTTTTCCACCCTGAATGAAAAACAAACGTTTTATCCAAAAATTCACCAGGCACAGACACACACCTGCAGTTTTTCTTAAAGTTTCATAAGTTTTATATTGAAAGAAAGTGATCTGGAAAAATTTTCCAAATCAGATTTTGTTATTTTTATTACTTATATGAATTATTGTCACTTTGATCCTTAAAATACCCACATTTCCACTTAACTTTATATGTTGGTCTGTCTGATTATGTATTTACATAATTTTAAATATTAAATGACTGATAATTTGATCAGCTACTCAGCACATGAGTAGACTTTTTACCAAATACTTTTTTACTCTTAGAGTAACTTCTTGAATGGCTACTTTGTACTTTTAGTTGAGTAAAAATGTGTTGTTGAAGTAGTACTACTTGGGTACAATTTTTGACCAAAACTGCAGAAACAGAGATACATTTTGTGGACATTACAGCTACGTTTAGCTGAATGTAAGGCACAGTATGGCCTTGTTTATGCTTTAAATGCACAAAAACCAGAATAGGTACGTATAGAATCCACTATATTACATTATTACACTGTATTTATCACAGATGACTGATAAGCTTTATATAAATGGTTATAATAAACCCCTCTTGCATCATTTTACTGTTAGTAACCATCGTTGGCTGTGCATGTGATTCAAGTATGAAGGACACATTTATCCCCGATAGATTAACAGCGTAATCCGTCACAAAACGTCCTGATTGATGGTGATATATATTCTTTTTCTTTTCTTTTTTGCCATAATGATGTAAAATGTCAAATATTTCAGCGGGTGGCGGTGATGCAGCAGCAGGACGCGGTGCATCGTGATCACAGCGGATACAGGAGCGTCCTTCAGCCTGTGAGTCACGGTGCCTCGGTGATGCTACTGATGCTGTTTCTTCTTCTTCATCCTCATCATCCAGACGAAGCGCAGCTCCAGCAGTAAACTGCCTACACATCTCCAGGGTTTTCACTCAGCAGCCACAATCCACTTCATCTCATCAAACTGTTTTTCCTTCCGCCCTCCCTGGAAGCTAGGTGTCTAATGAATGAAAATGCATTGATTTAAAACGCCTTACCTCTCGTTTACAATCCAAGAATAATGCTATAATCCTCCTTTTCCTTTAAATTGCATCCTATGATTCTTTTTCCTCCCTCCGATAATACGCGCTGCTGAAAGGAGGAATTTGCTGTTTAGAAAAACATATATAGGATATATGGAGGCCGTTATTCCTCAAATGATGGGGCTGGGAGTCAGGAGTGGTCACGTGACGTGCGGTCTTTTTCTTTTTTTAACGAACAATCCCCCCTCCCTCCCCTGCGTTGTATCCCGATGAGAGGGGCCCACATGACCAATCAGAAAGCAGGAATGTTCGCCCAAGCCACGCCCCTTTTAGATTTCATCCATAATGTCGAAAACAAGAATCTGCTCTGATTGGCTACCAATCCGGAAGCTACTTTTTTTTTATTAAATTAATTATTATTATTATTATTATTATTATTATTATTATTATTATTATTATTATTATTATTATTATTATGGTTGTTGTTGTTGTCGTTCTTGTTATTCTTTGGGTTGGAGACAGCTTTTTTTTCTCTTTCTCACTGTTTGCGTTTTAATGATGTTTTTTTTAACTCTTTCTCACATGCTGTTTTTATTTTAATTATGTAAAGCACTTTGAAATGTACGGAGCCCCTAAGGGGACATGGAGAAAAAAAAAAAGGAAAGAAATCCCGACTTATTATCGCGAGATCCCGACTTATTATCTCGAGATCCCGACTTATTATCTCGAGATCCCGACATCAGTACATAACGACCTAATCACAGTGATGGAGGACACCCACCCATGGGGTAGATATATAGATTTTTATTTCGAGCTTGGGCTTGAGTATAAACACATTAAATCAGTGCTTGACAGCAGACATGGATTTAGTATTAGTGAGAGACATCTGAAGAGAGTTTTCAGAGCGCGGGGACTCATTCGGCGCAAGTCCTTTTCCGACTTGGCAGTTTTGGTAGAATTCATTAATAACCAGCTACAGTCCTCTGGACAGCTTCACGGTTACCGATGGATGTACGCTAAATGCAGAGAGCATGGACTTCGTGTGAGAAAAGAAGATGTGCGCTTTGTGTTGAAGGAATTGGATCCCCAAGGGGTGGCACTGAGGCAGGCAAGACGTCTCAGACGGAGAAATTACTTTTCAAAGGGACCAAACTTCATCTGGCACATGGACTCCTACGACAAACTTAAACCATATGGAATATGCATCAACGCAAGTATTGATGGGTTTTCAAGAAAAATAATCTGGCTTAATGCTTACACAACAAGTAGTAATCCAAAGGTGATCGGGGGGTATTACATCGAAGCGGTGCAGCGTTTAAATGGCTGCCCTAGAGTTGTACGTGGTGATCTTGGAACCGAAAATGGCCATGTGAGAAGTTTCCAGCGTTTCCTTGTACCAACGGAACCAAACGAGACCCTTGACAGTTACCTGGAAGGAGCAAGTACAGCTAATCAAAGAATTGAATATTGGTGGCGTTTCCTTCGTAACCAGTGTGTGGAGTTCTGGTTGTCCCTTTTTGGAGACATCAGAGACAACGGTTACTTTGATGGTGGATTTTTAGACAAAAACCTTCTAAAGTTTTGCTGCATGGGGATCATACAGGTGAGTTAATCTTAATAATTTATTTATGTTTGGATAATAATAGCAAACTGAGATCCTAGAGGGATTACTTGTTTTTAAACACAGCGGATGCTGCGCAACTTAACTGCAGCAAGAGCCGGTGGCCGGTGCTCGCACACGCATCCGCTGTGTTTCCAAACAAATAGTCCCAACGTAGTTCATTTGACATTCAGATCAAATAATAAAGTCATACCAGAACTCTGGAGAACTCAACAGAATAGCGAGATCAGTCTACTTTGGACCGAGGACACATTATGGGTTCCAAAGTGTGGTTATATTCTACAAAAAAAGACTAGGACCCAAACAAAGCTTGAATCACAATAAAGGGAACAAATCCTTCCAACGTCCCAAAAAATTAACACACATCATGCAAATGACTATTGAATGTAAAGTGTTTGAC